CGGAAATTTCTTTACGAGTTCGCGTCAACCACTTCATATAGTTTTCTTCGTAAAAAAATTTTTACGAAAATGAGATACTCCTAAATATTTCGTCAAGATTTCGGAAACTTTCGTTTGCAGGGTAATAACAAAACAATTCAAAAACTCTTTATTTATTGCGCTTCGCATAACCTTCTTAAATTATTGGTAATGCGAATGAAAGAATTTTCAAATGAAAACTTTATGATATGAAGAATAATAAAGAATAGGTAAACAAATATAAATTTTGCCTGAAAAAGTATTTAAAACACAAAAACAAAATACTTTTGTTAAATGTATTTGCATTTTAAATACTTAAATCTTTGAAAGTAAGTGCCAACCACCACACTTTAATCTTTGCGATTTGAAGCTGAGAAAATCAACACATCCCCAAAAAATGTGAGGAAAAGGATGAAAGAAATGGTATTTGGTGTACACATTCAGAGAAACCAGATAAATTCCTGTCCATAATCCAGAATATCTTAACATGAAGACCATCAAATACGTACTACACAAAGAGCATAAAAGAAATTCGTAAAAAATTTTACAGTTTTGCATTCTGCAATGGTATTGTGTCATCGTTTTCTAAGTATGTATATATGTATGTTTGTATATATGTTGTGCACACGCCGGCCATTATGCATACATATTTTTTGAAGGTGGATTTATTCTGCATTTCGCAAATACAATCATCAAAGCATATTTACTAAGTAAAACTATTTTATTAAGTATTCTCAAGTAAATGCAAACACTACCTACTTCATCCCATCAGCACTTATGGATTGTATGTACATACATGTGCCATACCAAAGTACTCAAGTTTATGATTAAGAGCACACTTTCCGGCATTACAACGATGGCGCACAATGAAAATTATAAATTTAATTCAAACTTGACATTCAGACAATGAAAAACAAAAAAAAAAAAAAAATGAAAACAACATCAACAACAATACAATCTATCTACTCAACACGTAAAGTGTACTTAAATGCTTATAAGCACAGGAAGCGATGTGGCTCGCTGCTGCTCATGCAACTTACGAGTTTATAAATTGAATGCATTTTCAGTGCAACGTGCCACAAGCTTTAGGCTGTCTGCAATATATGCTACTGCCGCACTGATTATAATCTCGATTTTATTTAACGAATTTGCATTGTTTTTATAGACATACAGATATCCGAAGGTGGACTTTATTTACACATTTTCCAATGTACTTGAACTTATTCGATGATAGTAGCATTCGTTGTGTGCTTAAGAATTTAAAACCATCGACGATATATTAATCTGGCTGAGAGTAGTGTGCAAAGCAGTACTGCTACATTCGTGCGTTTTCCAATGTCGGGCAAAGTTATACTCAGATATCTTTAAATATATACCTCCGAATAGTGTCAAACAGGCATTAAAGATTTGTTGGCTCAAAAAAAAAAATTACGACCATCTAAGCACACCCTAATGCACATATGAGCATTGGTGCATTTGCATTGAAAAACAAAGCGACAACAGAAAAAACTGACGCCCATTTAAAACTCATCATTCCACAGGCCCACCCACTGCTACCCATTTTAATAAATAAAAATACAACTGAGTCATATTTTTTTTTTTTTTGTAAACCAAACTGTTAAACATGCAAACAGTTTAATCGTTTGAAGAAAAGTGCACAGTTAGGTGCAATTATTTTCAATTACCTACTTACAACAGAACATCATACGGGTAACGAAAACCAGCGATTCTATTGAGCTTCCTCTCACCCACCTTACACTCGGCTCTGCCACTCTCCTGCGGCAGCAACTTATGCGCGTCAACAGCTTTGTTCGGCATCGACGAAAAGTAGTGGCACCACGTTGGCGGATTTGTTCACATTTTTGCTGTATGATGCATACATTTTGTGGTGTTTTACTTGCAACATTCGCACCCAACCCGAATTGCTAGAGGTCAAATAAATGTGCACTAATCAATCATCGTCGAGGCACTTTCATAATTTATCAAAGTGGCAATAAAATCGCAAACAGCAGGCGCTTCAGCAGAGGAGGCTAACGGAAAAATATGTATGTATGTGAACATTCTTATGCACACCAAAAATCTTTGCTACCCCGCTACTGGGCAGCTTAAATTATTTCCTTGTCTGCGGTGAAAACTAAAACAATTAGAATGATTTTTATCATAAGTAGAGCAGCGGCACATAAATGGAATGCGGTGAAGAGCGCGGTGCAACAATTTGTTTTCTCGTTTTCTTTTTTTTTTTAGTTAAATAATAAAAGATTGATTAGAAGATAGATGCCCATGAGTCTGTTATGGAGCCGCTTGAGCTTTAAATCAGCGATGGGCAGAGAGAGCTTTTACTCAGAACGCGCCTATACAAAATGTATAAAAAGCTTAAAAGAGCTTTGCCCGCGCGCAAGGCAGCGCCCATAACCGCTTTAAATAAATAATAAGGAATATGCAATTTTTTCTCACTTCAAAAACGATTTCTTGTAAGTCCGCGAAAGAGAGGACTTTCCATAATACATAGTTTAAAAATATCACTCGTTTGCTGAAAGAACGTCATAATCCAAAGAACAACGGTTTATAATCAAGGTATGCAGCAATTATCGTAACCATTTTTTTTTATATAACGATATCTGTTAATTGTGTACCATTAGAAAATAATATTTTTTTTTTACTCTTTTTTGTACTTTGCTTAGCAGCCGTAACTAGGAAACAATTACTCTTTGGCCAAAGCGTGGATCAAAATTATGGTTTGATGACTGCTTTGGCCTCTGAGTTAAATTTTACGATTACATTCTTTGTAGTTTTTAGCCTACTTTAAGTCCCGTTTCAACAGTGGAGAGTTAACTCACATTCGGCAGTTAACTATAGATATTCCGTACGAAAATTGCGAGTTAACTGCCGGATGTGAGTTAACTATCCTCTGTGATAGTGGCCTTTAAGAGCAAAAACCAAACAAAACTTTTTTTAGAATTTTTTGAGTTTTCAAGTTGTGACCTTCTTACAGTAAACGAACGATATGTATTCATAAGATACAATTACCTTCATAAAGTTTGTAAATTTTCATTTCCATATATATATACAGTGACTCAAACAACTGACTACGTGCTAATTTTATTTAAATATTCGCAATGTTTTTTGAGCTAATTTTTTGTTTGTCAATTTTTCTATAAAAATATATACAAAAATTAGGAAAATTCAACAAATTTTTATCAAAATTTCAACTTTTTAATCTGAATCTTTAGAACATTTTTGGGTATGCAATTTTATAGCCCATACAATTTTAGTCTAATGAAGTGCAAGTTTTAAACGGCTAAAAAATCTCGTTGATTTTTCAGAATTTTTTTTTGAGACTACTTTTTCGGTTATATAACAAGTGCACTTTACAAAAACTGATGTTGATTTTTTGAAATTTTTATTTGCTAACGGTCTCTCGCGTTTTATTTCGTAAGAATTGTATGCTTATATGGAAAAAAGTTCAAAAATCTGTCACCAAAAAAGATGTTTCAAAAATCAACGGGATTTTTTAGCCGCTTGAAACTTGCCCTTCATTAAACTAAAATTATTTGGGCTATAAAACTGCATACCCGCAAATGTTCTAAAGATTCAGATTAAAAAGTTTAAATTTTGATGAAAATTTGTTGAATTCCCCTAAATTTTGTATAAAGTTTGAAACGTTTAGACGGTACTTTTATAGAAAAATGACTAAAAAAAATTTAGCTCGAAAAACATTGCGAATATTAAAAAAAAAAATCGACACGTGGTCATTTGTTTGAGTCACTGTATGTATTTAGAATGCAAGGCCAGCTTCCGTATGGGCTCAAATAATTAAATAGATCTCATTTACATTTACAAGTATTTAGTATTCCAACAGTGTTCGGTCTCTCCATTCGATTCCTCCCTAGCCGTTAATGCCTTTCGCTTTTTAAGGGGAAAATACTTGCACCGAAAAATCAACAATCGAAAGGCAGAGATAAAAGCTGGAACATTTGCTCCACTTCGATCCTTGCAATTTGGCAAGGGTAAGGCAAAAATTTGCAAAGAAAAATCAAAAAACAAAATTAAATGGGAGCGAGTTTTTTCCGCCATTACCTTTACTTTCAACTGCATTGGGAAATAAAAATATTGGCAAAGCTGGCGATTTAATTAAAGCAAGAACCGGCGACAATTCGATGACCTACCGGTGTAGCCTTAGAAGGTAGGGAAAGCATCAATCAATGGCGCATTAGGGTGACACAACAATTCTGCTGATAATAAAAACTATTTTCTTGATTTTTTTTTAAAGAAAATTATTTATATAAAAAAACCGTAAAAGCTTATTTTGACTGCTTTAACATTTGCTAAACAATTGACTATTAAAATTGCCATAAAAGCTGCTATAAAGTTTCCTTTAAAAATGCTAAAAAAATTTCCTGTTAAGTAAAGCAATTTTTTAACAAAAATTACTTATTTAAAAAAGCAACAATGTATTTTGCATTGCGTTTTAAAATAGGCTATAAAATTCACTTTTTAAGTTGCCATAAAATTTACTACAAAAGTTGGCATAATAGTCGCTAAAAAGTTTGTATAAAAATACCTAAACATCCCCTGCAAAGTAGAGAAATTCAGTGCTTAGTATTTAAGCAGGAAAAGCATTTATAGTTGTAGGCGAAAACAACTTTGATTAATATTGGCCCACTCTAATGTTGAGTCTCCAGATATGGAGATGCAGTAACTAAATGGGATTCAAGTACAAAATATCAAAAGGCGCTCAACGTGGGAACAAGGAGGAATCGTAGTAATTAAAATGTAGCAGTAAATATTTTATTCGTGTAGGTTAACGGCGTCAAAATGTGGTAGTAACAGTAAAGAATACGTAGATATCTTTGTTTCAAGAAAAAAGTGGTTTAACGGGTCAGCAAAATTTCCAGACTTGATGGGAACATTGTTCGGATTTAATTCCAGAGATCAATGACATCAACAACAAATACTCAATACCGAGTGCATCTCCAACTTACCTTCATTTCTAGGTTAGGTCCATTCTCCATAGCCCGCATAATGGTTTCGGACAATTTTATATCCAGCTGCTTGATTGTTGTTACAATGCCACTATCCGATCGTATGTGAGTCGTCACTAAATTTTGTATAGCATCCACCACATTCGACCAAGGGCTATCCAATACGCCAGCGTATTGAGCCGAGCAGCCACTGTGAAGAGGAAGAGAGGGAGAGAGAGAAAAAAAAACAATAATAGTAATACATAAAAAAAAATCCTTGAAAATTTCAATCATTTCGCGCTTCCGCCAATCCAATCCAAAATGCTCGCACTTACCGCAGCACATTCATGCAGTAGCTGTAGCACGCTTTCACTTGTGTCTTCTGATATCCATTACAGCTCGGACAGTAGCTCATCTTGAGCAAATGCTTCTGACAGTTGTCGGTCAGATACATGGCATACAATTCATCAGTCTCGCTAAGCACTTCAGCGCTCTGTTGCAGTGAGTTCAAGAAGATGCTCGCCGTTTGTACGCTTTGAAGCAAATTGCGTTTGATCTCCTTGGGTATGCTGCCGAATGGTTGCAGATCGTCGAATGTGTGCTTCAAGCAATTGATATAATCCTCATGTAATTCGCCATAATTATCCTTGCTCAAGTGCACCGCCTGATGATAGGCGACCGGAAAGAGATTCACAAAGAATTTCTGTATGGCATCTTCTAGATTGCTCAGGTTGTTGCCGCTGCCGCTGCTGCTGGTGCTGGTGCTGCTGCTGCCGGTGTTGATACCATTACTATTCGCATTCCTCAAGTGGCTGTAAGTAAGGAAAAAGAAAACGTTGGAAAAGCATTAAATAACGATTTGATAAGAAAAGCAGATGGAGTGAGCCAAAGTGGATAGTTGACTTACTTCATGATCTCCGAATAGAGCTGACGTATCAATTCGCTGGACTGAGGCACCATGCGTCGGTATACTTGGGAAAATACCGCCAAGGTTTTATTCTCAGACTGCTCCGCTAGTTCAAGGACATGACCTGTAAAAGAAAAAATTTAAATTAATTATAAGTGTCTAGGAAACAAATCTTTGTGTATTTTGCGCTTATGTTGAAAACTGCACTTTATTCTAAGTAAATAGGTACTAAAAGAAAACTTGAGAAGCTTAATAATTTTATAAATCGCAAGAGTTCGATAGCGACATTCTTACACAATATGGGGATTTGGCCCCCAAAAGTTAATACTGTGGGCGATTTTATTAGTGCCAATAAAATATCCATATCTATGTATATTGAACTAATAGAGAATTCCAGTAGTTTTGAATAGCACTGGGCTAGGTGAGGTTATCGTGGCTGCCTTATTCAACGTTGGAGGGGGGGGACTAGTCAATATACTAACATTTTACGCTTGAATTGCCAT